ACACAACAGGAAGTTAGTCACGGGCTAATTTCTTCTTACACTGCTTATCAATATGTTACCATGTTAATAATGTCAATGGTGAAATATTCACATTATGAACGGAGCCGGCTCTGGGCACGCCCGGCCGCCCACTAGAGTGCCACGGGCCCATAATTTTACAACCTGTACCTACAATGTGAATGTAACTTGTCGATGTGAATATTCACATTAATCAAACGGCCCGGGGCCGGGCCTATTTTTTGGCCTGTGGACTTGCCCGGCTGACTTCGAATTTTTTTTCCGGCACCCACGAATACAACACCAATCGGAAATAATCTACACTAATCATCCTCTCTTCCCTGATACTCGATAATCGAACTATGCGGTCCGTGCAGCGTCCGCCTACAAACACGATTAGTGAAACTGTGTGTCGAGTTAAATGAGTCACCGCCATTCACATTCGAGTCAGTATGGTCTGCTAACATATGACGAGTCTGTGTGAATGAGATTCATTATTTAGAGTGTAGCATTTTGACTATCTATGATATGTTCTGATCTTTAGTTGATCACAACTCAAGAAAATTCTTAGCTTGTGGAATAAATATACGTAAAAACTCTATGAATACATTTAGTATGTGTGTATCACACTACTGTAGTAATTGTGATAATACACTTAAGTTTGATGAAATACTGTGAAAATATCAGGGTGATAATGTTATTGGTTTCACTTACATTCTCTGAAATTCTAATATCTGTAAATATAGTATATTGGAGTAGAAATTGTTCTCTGCTTATAGATCTGAAAAGTTATAGTGATTTCTCGAGAGTATTGATAAGAACTATGAGGTTGAATGGAAATACTTAAGTTTTTTTTCTCCTTCTCCTATGCATAAATAAGGACTTTCATTTCTCATTTAAATAAAATTCCTCTTTCTTAGATATAATAGAAGGATATTAATTAACACCAATCATGCTAATTCATATCAGTCATCCTCAATCGGAAAACTATAAACAATGCAGGAGGGGGGAGAGTACTTTCTTGCAATTACCGTGGATATGACCCTTAAGCGCTACTGCGAGATGAAACACACATCGAATAAAACTAGTCATCTTCTCTATTCTTTTATGACTATTGTATTCTTGTGTGCTTATGATAAATAAATTAGAATCTACTGCTATCGGTCTTAATCTTTAAATGTTTTATTAGCATAAATCTCTTCATAGTAATAAAGAGCGCAAGCTGAAGCTCCTTTAAATATTTTTAATTCAATTGAACCCCTCTATGAGATATTTTAGAGTAAAATACAGTAAAAAACCTCACTAATTTTGACAAATTACATTGAGTGCCCCTAGACGATTTTTAAGTATCATTATAACTCTTAGCCCTCACTTACACCAATAATGAGTATTTATTTAATATGGATGAAAAAATGCACATGTTGGTCATCAGGTTCAGTTGTATCAGCATATAACTCAATGAGTTATATCTTAATCTATCGCTTGTTCTCTAATTATTTAGTGTTCTTCAGTACCCTACCTAAGATTAGTTTTGTGCACTCTATAACCTACTTCAAAGATTTTGGAGGGGACTCAAGTGTAGAGAGTGAGAGTGTGATCAGATGACGCATTATGAGGACTAGAATTATATGAGTATAATTTATATTTTCTTCACTCAAACCTCTACCGGGAAGTCAGATGTAAATTAATACACTGTATATGACGTATAATTATTTATTAATTGTTCAACATCTTGGATTGAGTCAATAGTAAAAGAATACAGAGAAACACACTTAGAATGAATAGAACTTGAAATTACTTAAATATTGACATACCAATAACCTTTGAATATTCTTGAACAACTGCTCTAATGCAACACCATGCCTAAGACTTATGTCAAAACACATGTCACTAGAAGAAGATGGATTCTATTACCACGGTATCTCGCAGCACAAAAGTAGTTTACTTGGTTATTCACAATACTCCATGTTAATTATATATCTTGAGATAGATATACATTTTAAAAAATATTGGTTGTTATTTTTATATCTTATCGTATCTCTATGAGTTGCTCTGACATTGTGATAAACCGTATGGAAGTTATTGTTGGAGACCAATGAATTTAGGGAATCCCTTTCAAATTATTTTTCCTTATTGTTAGTATATAACATATTAAAACACTGCAGATACTGGCAAAGGTATCGGAATAGAAGGAGTTATCACCGACTTTTTTTTCGAAAAGATATGTTATAGTTGACAATATATTCTTGTATTTAGTATCTCCTATGTTCAGATTTGATTAATTCAGCGAGTAACTTTTCTCAACATTTGTTACATGGATTGGTATATTTCAGGAATACAGTTGTTTCTCTCTCTCTCTTTCTTCTCATCATCCTTTGATGTGCGCATATCTAGTATCTTGCTTTTCACTAAATATTTTAGCTGTTGTGTGTAAGTAAGGTTTGGTTTATTGTTACTTAAACAACCCATATTGAAACTTCACACTAATATACATATATAAGGTTTAATTTAAAATAGTTAGTTACTCATATAATAATTGATTATGTGT